GGCCCGAATCGGCAAACACACGCCCAGATTGAGAAGATCGGACTCTCGGAGGTCTGAGTGGACGGCGGCGGCGACGACGACGACCACGACTCGATCCCACGACGGCCCCCACCGTCGCCTCCGATGGAAACAAAGCAGGGCGAGGGAGAGGGGCGGGAGGCGCTGCGGCCGCGCCTCGTGCCTGGCCCTCTCCTCCGCCAGGCGGCGCTCCTCCGCCTGGCTCGGGCGGAGCGGGGGGGCAGCGCCCCGGAGGAAGCGCGCCGCTGCCTCGCTGGCTGTTTTTTCCGTGCCTTCCGTGGGACGCACAAAGACCTGTGCTAATCGTGTGTGTCCTCCTTGGGGGAGCGCGCCCGACCCGAGCATGTGTAGTGCACCCATCTTGTGGTACATCCCTTCCCGAGCGGTGTGGCCAGAAAGCGCCCGCCACGACGCATATACTATAAGATTCTTCGGTGCGCGCGTCGCCCCCGGGCGGCGACGCACACATAGTATATTGTGTTGGGATGTCGCCGAGTCTGGTGCTGCAGCAATTTCAAGGTGGGACCTACGCAAGCAATGAGGACAGGCTCACAACAAAGACATGAGAACGTGGAGCCCCATACATATCTGCATCCTGAAGGCAAGCAGCAGCTGCAAGGACGAAGGGGGGTACCTGCGGCGGCCCTCCCGTGGGCGAGAATGCAGGGCGGCGCCCTCCAGAGGCCGAGGCAGCCGCAACCTCGCCCTCGCCGCTTCCCTGGCATCCGAGCGTCGCCGTTGTGTGGCACTGGGCCCCTGGACCCTCGCACAGGCCAGTAGATGGCTCGAGAAGCGCGGCAGAAAGATTGGGTCTGGGGCGCTCTGGTCGTGATGTTCGACGGCGTTGCACATGTTTCCCAACTCATCAAAGGCCTCTACCTTGCCCAAAGACTGTCAATTAGCCTGGCGAAGAACCCAACCCTCAACGACTTCATGGTGGGGACCCTCTCTATACACGATCCTTGTCAAAGATATGCCGAAACGGTTGGGAGGGGCGCGTGCAAACTTTCTCGCTGGGGCCGTAGGTGAAGCTCCACAAGAGGCGCGACCCGTTAGAGAGTTGTGCGCAATTGGCGGGGGTAACGCGTGCGAACCCTGCCTCTGGGGCCTATAGACAAAGATCTCTAAGGGACACAAGCCGTGTGGGAGGTGTTGCCGCCATGGGCGGGGGACGCATGCTCACTTCCCAACTGGCGCCGTGGGTGGAGCTCCCTGTGGGCCCACAAAACGTGCGAGGGGTGGGCCGAAATGGTCGCGAGTGCGCCATCCAAAGCTTTAGCTGGTGCCGTACGTTAAGGGGGTCGCAACGTGCAAGTGGTGTGCCGAAATGGACCGCACATACCATGAGGCCTATCCCATGTAGGCCGCAGGTGGAACTCACTTTGGGGCCCGAAACGAGTGAGGGGTGTCACGACATGGGCAGGGGGCATGCGAACACACCCACTCGGGCCGTAGGTGGTGCTCCCTAAGGGGCACGAAACGTGTGAGGGGTAGGCCGAAATGGGGGGGGAGCATGCAAACTTTCCTGCCAGTGCCACAGGTGGAGCGCCCAATTTGGGGAACGAAACGTGCGAGGGATGCGCCTAAGTCGGCGCGGAGCTGCATGCGAGCGCAGCCGCTAGGACCGTGATTAGGTGCTCTTCTCGTGGGTCCACGAGACGCGTGAGGAGTGTGCCGGATTGGCGGGAGAACCGCACGTGGACGAACCCACGGGGGCCGCAGGTGGAGCTCCCTGTGGGACAAAGACGCTCGTGAGGAAAGTGTGGCTGCAAGCGGAGATCTCAGGCACGGTCCTCGTGCGAGGTGTGCCAGAATTGGCGAGGGGGGGAGCACATGTGGGCGCACCCACTGGCGCCGCAGCTAAAGGAACAAGCAATAGCATAAGCAGAACCTTTTGACGGTCCGCGCGGATTTCTTGGATCTGCACCAGACCCCCTCCCTGGGCGCTCCAGCGCAGATCCACGAAAACCGCGCGGAAGGTCGAAAGCTTATGTTTGCGGCGCTTTTCTCCTTCGAATACACAATTGGAGCTCCCCATGGAGCCACGAGACGTGTGAGCGTTGTGCCGGAAGTGGGCGGGGCGGCGTGAGGTCACCCCACTCCTAAGGTTAATTAGGTCGGGCATGTCCTCCTACAGGCGGATCTGGTACGAAAAATAAAAAATGGTCAAGGGATACTCAAACATAGTCAAAAACAATCAAACAAATCGTCCCCATATTGTTTTGTTACTATTTTTGAACATTCCTCCTGTAGAGGAACAGGCCCGACTTAATCCCAAGAGGCCCAAAGGGGGGCACCCCCCGTGGGGCCACGGAGCGTGTGCGTGAAGCGTGAGGTGTGCCGATACCTGGCAGGGGGGCGCATGTGACCCTGCCTGCTGGGGCCGTGCGACAAGTTCGTGTCGTGTCGGCCCCCCCCGGCCCCGGCGCCCCCCCGCCGCCATCTGGCGCCGCACTGAGCGGGCCTGGCCTCCTCTCCCTCCCGCCCGCGCCGGGCCTCCCTCCTCCCCCCCCACATGCATCGCGGCGTAGTTCGCACGGGTATGCCCTACATCTGGTCCTTCTGCTAGCGCAGTCACTCCGCCCAACCGCCAACGCAGAAGAAGTCGCGCCGACCCGGGCGCTGGTTCCTGGCCCCGCGGGAAGCGTTCAACCCTGAACGATCGGGCGTTTCCGCAACGTCCCATCGTCCAGCGTCGACCGAGTCTGGGCCGCCGCCGGCGTTCAACGCTGAACGCCGGCGGCGGGGTGGCCGCCGATCGACACGACACGAACCTACCGTATGTGGAGCTCCGCCCGATAGTGGGCATGATAGGGGGGGAGGGGGCTGGGGGGGGTACAATGTTACGCCTCCCCCCCGCCGTGTGCCCGATGCGCACGGCGGCAGTGCCCGGAGCGCACTGGGGGGAGAGGGGCGTTACGTTACAGGAGGGGTGGGGGGGGAGGGGGGGAAGGGAGCTGTAACGCCCATTATGCCCCAAGCAATCAAGAAACACGCTCTGATGGTCACAACATGTGTCGGGTGTGTGCCGAGAAAGGGGGGGGGTCGCACGTGGCCCTGCCCACGTGGGTCGAGGGTGGATCTCCTTGTGGGGCCACGAAACTCGAGGGGAACGTGCCGAAATGGGCGGGGGGGCGCGTGTGGCCTTGCCTGCAAGAACCTCACGTGGATCCCCCTGTGTGGACACGATCCGGGTGAGGTGTGTGCCGGAATTGCGGGGGGGGGAGGCGCATCTGGTCTTGCCCACTGGGGCCTTCGGTGGATCCCCCTATGACGCCGCGAAACGCGCGAGAGGTGCGCAGACAAGAGCGGGAGAACCGCACGTAGCCTTGGCAACTGGGGCCATAGATGGAGCACTCGATGAGGCCACAAAGCGCGTGAGGGTCGTGCGAAGCAGAAACGCAAGGGTAGGGCGGAGGCGAGGAACGATGATGATGTTGACTATGATGTTGGTGCTGATGTTTTTCAAACAGAAAAAATAGGGCGACGCAATCTATACATATCCACTGCTCCCTGGCCAGGCCCATCCTGAACACAGCAGCTGTGTATACGCCACGCCCTCCTGGTTTGGCCAGGAGGGCGTATACACAGCTCCTGGGTTCAGGATGGGCCTGGCCAGGGAGCAGTGGATATGTATAGACTTCGTCCCCCGATTTCAAACAGAAAAAAGAAACTGCAGCCGCACGTCAAGCCAAGAAAAAAGGCAACGACGGAAGCAAACGCACATCCGAGACCCAAGAGGAGTCTCGGAGAGCGCACGCCCCACCGCCGTGTGGACGGGTCCCGCAAGAGAAGACAAAGGAACGAGGAAGAGGAGGACGGCGGGGCCGAGGGGGAAGGGACAACAGTCGGGGATGGACAGACTTCCCTTTAGTAAAACGTGGTTTAGTGAAAACGACCTCGGGCCCAAACCTGGCGGGCGCAAGCCTGGAAAATAACGGCCGCGGCGCCCTCCCGAGAACCGAAAACGGACAATTCACTAATCGACGTGTCACTGTTGGGGGTTCTGTCCACCCCCGAAACAGTCCGGAACCCCAGAAAACGACAACGCGAGGGACGGGGAAAGACAGAGGAGGCGGCAGAACGACGAGACAAGACGAAAAAGAGGCAGAACGACGGGAAACGCAACGAACAACCATATACAGGGGCAGAGCCAAGCAGCAAGCCTGGAGGGAGATCGTGAGAAGCACGACTCCAATTCACCAGGAACTCTGCAACGTGCTGAAACCGCAACCTGCTCAGGGGCGGCACGATACGAACCCCCTGCAATAGGAGGCTGTCGAGTCGGTGGGAAATCGCATCCGGGGAGCGCTGGCAGCTCACGATAAGAGCTCCAATCTACGCACGCATCTAATGGGCACGCCACTGCTCAGCGACAAGGGTGAGGTCGGGTATGTCCCCCTACAGGGGGATTTTGGACGAAACATTAATGATACACCAGAAATACTCAAACATATTAAAAACAAATGCTGCACAAAGACTATGTTTGACTATCTTTGCATATTCCTCCTGTCGAAGGACAGGCCCGACGTAAAAAGAGGGCGCAGAGGCCAGACCGAGGGAAAAGCAACGCTCCGAGGTGGCGGGGTTCTGCGGCCATCGCCCCCCGCCGTGCCCGACTCCCCACGGCGGGCACGACGTGCCCGCGCGGCGACCCTCGTCACCGAGGGCAAGGGAGATGGGAGAGCTAGCAGGCGAGGCACTCCCGAGAACGCGGGAACAGAGTGGTGAACATCACCAGCGGCACCACGAATAGGATCAATAACAACCCATGCAACACGATCTCCATGCAGGAGAAGGTCAATGAAGTCGATGAACTTAATCGCCCCGATACGCAACACGCAACACGTAGCGTATTGATACGAAGCTCAACACGTATCCGGAATACGTGGGTCCGACGCGATACATTCGCCAAAACGTGGTCCAATACGTGGAGCCGAAGCGCAACGTACTGGCACGGACGTATTGAGTACGGTACGTGTTGCGTATTAAAACGTGCGTATCGAGGCAGCTAAGTCGATGAAGTGGCCCGGGTACAGCATCTCGTTCAAGAGCGCCGCCAGGACGAAGAGGAGGGCGAAATACAGCACGGTGAAGATCGAGCCAAGGACGAGGCGCAAGTACTGGACGACAACCCCGTCCAGCAGGCAAAGAAAGAGCAGCCCCCTCACCATCAGGGAAGACAGCACCGCAAGCAGGTAGGACAGGAGGATCGGCACGACTAGCCCAGTCATCGGACCCCGCCTGAGCACCAGCATCATGATCAGGAAGGACTCCGCCCAGAGGAGTCGTACAATCAGCAGGAAGGTCAGCATACCCAGGTACACCGAGAGACACGTGAGAACCCTGAGGTCGAGTCCAAGGCGCCTTGCGCAACGGCCCTGACGACCACGAGTCGCACGCCTGGGCCCATGGACGAACCGCACGCCTTGCAGGAAGAGCGTGGCGTCGCATGCCGCCACCGCAATGACCACCACGATCATCATCTCCGTCGTCGTCATCGCCAGACGGACCTCCCACCAGAACAACCATGAAAAACGCCAGCCTGACGAAACCCAAAGCATGCCTCCGTGCGGCCATCGGAAAGTCGATGCCCTCGGTCAACTGCGATGTGATCTGCGACCCGTGGAGAGACCATAATTATCCAGCATGCGCATGACCATAGCACGAGTAGTCGCCGACGCCGCCTGGGTCAAGGACGACCTCGAGCTTGCACTTGGCGGTGCCCTGCGCCGCACCGAAGCAAATGCCACACGCCACACCTGCAGCGACATGACCACGAAGCCAGGCGATCACGAAGCCAGGCGATCACCGTCGGCGTCGAGGCAGAACGGCAGCACAACAGGGAGTGGAAGGGGCAGCAGCGTCGCGGCGCCCAAGCGCCGAGGAAGCCAAGAGCAGGCAAGTGCATGAGCCATAATGCGGATGACGATGGAGATGAAGATGATGATGATGATGATGATGATGCTGATGATGACGTTGATGATGATTGTGATGGTGCTGGTGATGGTGATGCTAATGACGACGACGATGATGATGCTGAGGATGATGCTGCTGCTGATGATGATGAGTTTGATGATGATGCTGATGCTGATGCTGATGATGATGATGATGATGATGATGATGATGATGATGAGTTGGATAATGATGTTGATGATGCTGATGCTGATGATGATGCTGATGATGATGATGATGATGATGATGATGATGATGATGATGGAAGAAGACGACGAAAAGGAGGAGGAGGGCAGAGAGAGCAGGGGCAGAAAACGGAAAGAGGAGGAGGGTAGGAGGTGAGACGGAGACGCGGGGCGGTGCGGATTCACAACGAGGTCCCAACTTCCAGAAGGGCTGGGAACCCCCAAGAAGGATTAAAACCCCATCCTGTGGAAGGGGTCGGGAGACCCAGGGGCCCGCGCCACGAGCAAAAAAACACTCCCGCCCTCCCTCACTCCCTTGCTTCTCCTCCCACGTCCCTCCTCCATCACCCTGTCCACCCGTCTCCTGCCACCCCTTGCCTGCACCCATGCGACATTCCCCGTGCGGGGTGCTGTCACACGGTACACATGCGCCGACCTCTGTACTGTGTACCTCGAGCCTCCTGCTCATCGGGGGCGGCCAAGACGGGGGCGTCCAAGAGGGGCGGGCACAAATCATGGCTGGCGGCATGTGCGCGGCCCAAGGGGGGAACCGGGGACGTATTGAAATAAGAAGAGGCGCCATGAAATCTGGGGAGATATCATGGCCCCCGCCATGATATCCACCCCCCCTAGTCATCAGCCCCCTCTTGGCCGCACTCGAACTGAGCAACGTCTGAGGAAGATGGCAGCAAACCCCGTGGAACGGCCCTGGCATTTATCAGGTCGGATGCTACCATTGGCCATATGTGAAAGAGACTTCCGCCGCCGCGCGAGAGCCTCCTCAAATCAGGTAGTGTTTACCCAAATTTCCGAAGCCAAGTGCATGAAGCAAATTTCGCCCCTCCTCTTTCCAATCTCCCCCCCTTTCTGTCCGAGCCGGAAGTAGAGGCAGACCGATGAGGAAACGAAGAATGACGACAATGACGACGACAACGACGACGGCTCTTTTCTTGACGCCCGCCGGACTCTTGAATCTCGCGCACGCCTAGTGAAACACCGCGGCTGGGGCAGAAACGGCAGAAGCCAGGAAACTGATAGAGGACAGAAGATGAGGAGAAGGAGGAGGAGGAGGACGACGACGGGGAAGACCGAATATAGCGATGAAGTGGAAGATGGAACGGAAAGTGGCAGGAGAAAGAGAAGACGGAGGGGAGGAGGAAGAGCGAGAAGGGAGAGCGTGAGGAAGAGAGAGAACAATGAGGAGAACGGCAGGAAGGACGACAGAGGGAGACAAACGACGGAGGGAGACGTATAGAAGGCAAGCCAGGGGCGCCACATCTGGCATCCTAATCACCCCTCCCACCCATCCCTTCACACTGCGCTGAATCTGCTTCTATCCACCGACTGGGGTGTCCTGGAGGACCATGCTTCCCAAATGGCATGGCAAGTGCAGGATTTGACATTGCTTGCTGCGCAATTGGGGAGAGATCGTCTGCAAACTGGTAGGGATCGAGACGGCGGAGGGAGGCGGGGGAGGCGATTGAGGAGCAAGGAAGGCGAAGGGAACGGCAACGACGAGAAAGGAATGGGAGCCAAAGTTGCGAAGCGTGGCCCGCGCAGAACGCGGCCTGCGGCCAACCGGGCAGAAGTACATGCCGCATCAGATTCATTGCCCCCCCCCTGCTCGCCCGAAGGCAACTGGCGATTGAAGGGCTTCGCCTCGACGCCCGGGCGCGCGTCGCAGTGGCGCGCCCCGTTCGTGCGCGTGAAACCGCAGGGCCAGGTTCGGCGCAGGCACGTCGCCACGCGCCCTTAGCCCCATCAGTCGAGAGCGCTCGGTCCCGCCGCTCCACGCGCGTGAATCTGGCGACTGACCGACGGACGATCTGCGCCAATTTCTTGCAGAAGCGGCGCCCGCGCCGCAGGGGTGCCCAGACGCGTCCGCGTTTGCCCAGGATCTTGTGATGTACGCCAACTCGGGCGGAAGTAACGAACAGGATGAAGGAGGAGGAGGAGCAGGAGGAGGATGGAGGAGGAGGGAGGAGGATGAAGGAGGAAGAGGAGGAGGAGGACGACGACGACTGACCTACGAATGAGCTGCGCCAATTTCTTGCAGAAGCGGCGCCAGCGCCGCAAGGATGCCCAGACGCGCCCGCGTGTGCCCGGGATCTTGTGGCGATTCTCGACAATCGGCGGCGAGGCCGGGGAGGAAGTGAGAAGTGGCGGGCCTTCTCAGAAGGCTCGGGAAGTCCCCTGGTCTTCTGATAAGTTTACGAACCCTGAAGACACAACAAAAACCTCTCAGAAGGCCCGAGGGTTTCTGAAAAGTCCCGCCACCTTCTGAGAAAGCCTTTTTGTGGCGACTCTCGACGAGGATCCCTTGCCCTGGGCGGCTCGCGGGCACGCGCTCCCAGCGTCGTCGTAAACGGGCGGGCGCCACAATCTCCGGCCACCGCGGTGGTGAGCGAGAGCCCGCGCCGCGCCTGCATCGACGCCCATCGAGGCTGCGGCTGCGGTGGAGGCCCGACCACAAGAGACCCTCCACCAGGAACCCAACCCTGAGCCCCCAGGACGTCCATGGACAACTTGGTGTGGGAACGCCACGCCTTTCCACGGCAAAACCGTCGAACCCCAAGAAGCCCAAGGCCCCCCTGGAGGCACGCAGGGTGTCTCTGGGCATGGGCCTCCACTGCACCGCCCTTCCTCGCCGACGCCGCTCCGCGAAGACGTCGCGCAGGCAGGCAGCTCCAGCACGCTGCGCCCCCCTCGCCCCCGCGGCAGGGGCGAGAGAGGCCACCGCAGGGCCCGGCGGCGCCAGAGCATCTCGGTGAGGAGGCCCCCGTGGCGCACACTGGCGCGCCGCAGCACCCAGGGAAGGTCAGGCCCTGCCATTTCTGGCCAGCTGGCGTGAGGTCGGGCATGTCCCCCTACAGGCAGAGTTTGGAGGAAACATAAAAATACTCAAACAAGATTGAACGATGATCAACAAATGTTAACAAAAATCGTCCCAAGAGTATTTCTTGATTAATTTTGAACACTCCCCGTGTCGAGGGACACGCCCGACTTAAAGCCGGCGCGGTCGCATGCGCGCTGCCTCGCGTGCGGCAGGCACGTTCGCGTAGACGTCATCGCGAGCGAAATTGCATAGCTGGAGGAACACGGTGTCCTTCGCCCGCCCGCACGTGAGAAGGGACTTGCGGCACGAGTTCCCGTTTGACGTGGCTTCCGTCGCTCGCGCCAACGCGCTCTTAGAGCGAGTGGCACCTGGCTTGGGACTCGTGCCCAGCGCCAAGCGCGCCAGTCGCGGAAGCGGGAGGAAAAGGAGAAGAAGGAGGAGGCGAAGGAAGAGGGCGCGGGAACGTGGAGGAGGAGAAGGAAGAGAAGGAGAAGAAGGAGGAGAAAAAGGAGGAGGGGGGGAGGAGGAGGAGGAGGAGGAGGAGGAGGAGGAGGAGGAGGAGGAGGAGGAGGAGGAGGAGGCGGGAACGCGTCAGCGCCAGTCGCCAGCGACGGGGCGCTGACGCCCGCCGAGCGAACACATCGCGGGCCCGCCAAAATACTTGTACGCCAGCGGCGAGGCAGAGAAGCCGCACCAGCGAGCGGGGCTCGCTAAAACACGAAACGCGCCTGCGCCGCGAACAACTTGGCGGCGCGCCGTAAACTGCCCGAGGCCGATCGCCGGACAGCGCGCCTTCGATGTCGCGCGCACGCGGCACTCGCGCGAACGCGACGCGCAAACTTGCAAGAGAGACGCGGGAACCGATCTCACCCTCGACGGCGCTCGCGGCCGCGCGCTTCGCTGATCCGCCGCCTTCGCGCGCGGCGTTCGAGGCCGCGCCGTTGGCGAAGAATGACGCCAACGCGAAGCGGGCGAGCCTGCACAAAGGGGGAGGGGAAGGGGGAGGAGGAGGAGGAGGAGGAGGAGGAGGAGGAGGAGAAGAAGAAGAAGAAGAAGAAGAAGAAGAAGAAGAAAAGAAGAAGAAGAAGAAGAATAAGAAGAAGAATAAGAAGAAGAAGAGAAGAAGAAGAATAATCAGAAGAAGAAGAAGAAAAAGAATAATAATCAGAAAACGAGGAGGAGGAGGAGGAGAGAGAGGAGGAGGAGGGGAGGAGGAGGGGGAGGAGGAGGAGGAGGAGGAGGAGGTAGGAGGGAGGAGGAGGAGGAGGAGGAGGAGGGGGAGGAGAAGGAGGAAGAGGAGGAGGGAGGGAGGAGAAGGGGAGGAGGAGGAGGAGGAGGAGGAGGAGGAGGAGGAGGAGAGAGGAGGAGGAGGAGGAGGAGGAGGGGGAGGAGGAGGGGGAGGGGGAGGGGAGGAGGGGGGGAGAAAGAGGAGGAGGAGGAGGAGGAGGAGGAGGAGGAGGAGGGGGAGGAGAAGGGTGAGGAGGAGGAGGAGGAGGAGGGGGAGGAGGGAGGGGGAGGAGGAGGAGGAGGAGGAGGAGCAGGAGGAGGAGGAGGAGCAGGAGGAAGAGGAGGAGGGAAGGAGGAGGAAGAGGAGCAGGAGGAGGAGGAGGAGGAGCAAGCAAGCAAGACCTTGGCAGCTGGTGTCTCTCGCTGCGTGGCTCACCTCTTAGGGGCAAGGCCTGTAACCCTGACTGTAGCTGCTGGCAAACGCAATGCGCATCTCGAGCACGCCTGCGGGACTTTATAGCCCATCACGGACCTTCAAAACCCGCGTTATCACGAAGGCGCACCACACTTCATTCAAGTCGCTGTGGGTTGAGGCTTAGAGCGCTTGGGCCCATCACTTCAACCTCAGGGCTGACGGGTGCGGAGGGAGGCCCCAGGGAACTCGGGGCCGTCGAAAGCGAAAACAATGCATCGATCCCGTCGGACCGCTGGAAAAGTAGCTGCGTGTGCGCCTTCGCGTGTCTAGGTCGTCCGTCCGCACTCCACCCCCCCACTCCCGCTCCACTCACTCCCCCCACACACGACACGTCAGCAACTATCGAGCACGAAAAAGGCAACACGTGATTCACCTCTCGGTCTGCCCAACTCGCCCAGGAAACGGTCCCGAGGCAGAGAGGACAGAAAAGAAAACAGCACGAATCGAACGCTCAAACAGCATCCAGCGCAGGAGGCCCAGGACGCCCTCACCTCCCGCCGTCAAGCTCGAGAAGGCGTGGGCCAGCATCGGCAGCCTTCTCTTCGCTTCATCTCCCCTGTCTCTTGAGATCTCGGAGCAATTGACGAGCTCGTTCGCTGCCTGTCTGAGCCATGTGTCGTAGGCCGTTTAAACCGATTGTTCCTGCACCGCTGCCTGAACCGCTCGCCCCAGTGCTGCTGGTGGTGGGCCCCCTATCTTCACGATGCCGCCGCTGGCGACCAGCCCCTTGATGATGTGCAACCGGATCTCGGCGATCGTGGCGTTGGGCATCTCCGACTGGTCGCCTGTCGTCTCCTTGTACCTCTGAATCAGCTGGGGCATGTGAAACGGGCTGATGGCAATCGGGCTCAGCATGGCGTGCAGCTTGGCTTGGTCTGCCTTCTGGTTGTCCTCGTTGTACGTCTTCTTGATGCGGAAGTAGCGCACCAGGTCGCGCAGCTCCTCGCGGTCCATCGCCGTCATTAATTTTGCGAATGGCTCGAGGATCCCCTTGGTATCGTCTGGCAAGACCCCATCTTCGGGAGCATGGGAATAGTACACCCGAAGAAGTGCAGATGCGGTGGGCCCAGGTCTTTGCGCGCCTCCTCTGTGCTCAGTCCGTGATATTCTTGGCCCATCCTCATGCCCTGCGTCGCCGCCTGGTGGGTCATTGGGATGATGAGGCAGTCCCAAAGCGCCCCCATCAGAATGCGCAGCGTCTGCGTGTTGTTGAGCGTCAGCTTCTGTAGCGTGAACATCCTCTCGTGAATCGTCGCATCCGCATCTTCGTCTGAGCCCGCTCCAGCCCCCTTGCCCCGGGCCCGTCTGAGCTGCCGCCCTCCGCGCCGCTGCGCGCCTGGCGCGGCCGCTCCTGCCACCCCTTGCGCTGGTAGGCATATCACCCACGACATGTTCAGGCGGCCCTGCTGCGTGCTGCTTGACGTGATCAAGATGCGAGGGAAGCTCTGAGGTGCTGCGGCTGCACCGTGCACACTGGTAGCTCGGTGCCCCTGTCGGCGCAAACTCGAACGAAACGGCTCTGGTTGGACATAGCATGGGGCTTGCTCGTGACATGGCCCGAACGTGCCTCACGCAACTCGCCCTGGATGCCAAAAAACCCTTCGACACCATGGGCACGCGTTCGCCGTCGTCCACATAGAGTAAAGCCCCCCCATGTTGTGCGTCTTGTTCAGGTGGCACGTCAGGGCCCTCGTCGTCGTGAACACGCCCCCGCAAACATCTCCTTCAGGTGTTTCATGTGTGCACGCGTACTCGTGCATGTCCTCCTCCCCTTCCAAATGCCCGATCCCCTCGGAGGCCCCCCCCCCCCCCTCCGCCCCGTAGTGCCTGTCAAACAAGTGCCGAATATGTTCGAGGCGTTTCCCAAGGAACAACTTTCGAAACTCCTCGTCTGCGAAGAAATCTAAAAGCCCCCCCCCCCCATCGAGTTCCACGCCTGTGCAAACTGAGAAGCTGGGTCGACCTTCGCGAAAAATAGCAAGGTCGTTGTGAACCTGCTTGGCCCAAGGGGTGCTAAACTCGTTGAGGTCTTCTGCTGAGCCCAAGCGCGGCCTGTTTACTGCTAGGTCCATCCGAGTGCTTCCGAAGACACCTGCCAGGACCTGGGAGTTCTTCTGGGGGCACCGAGACATTTTCTGATACCACCTGATCCTCTGAATTCGTAGCTCCACTGCGACTCGCGGCAGCTTGTGGCGCGCGAACGCCCGCGCATGCCTCTCGCCTCGGACCTTGCCATCTACCTCGACTGTCGCCACTCGGCTGAGCACGCGCAGGTATCTGATTAATACCGCGTCGAGCTTGCCTGCGAAGCGTGGAAAAGGCAAAACTTGTGAGTCCTGACAGACCCGCGCTCTGCACATATGCAATGAAAAGAAGCCGTAGCATGCGAGGTGCCAATGGATCTGATCAAATCTTCCCCATCGGTCTCCATCCCGCCCTCGCTGCCCTAATGCGCCCTCGGAGCTCGGCGCGCAGGCTGTCGTCGAAAGTGAGCGTCGGTCCTAGTACACGTTCTTCTCGAACTACGCTGCCTACAACAGTTCTAGAAGCTGTCAAAGTCTTCACTGCTGCAAATGACCCTTTCCCGATGACATTCGTGATGTGATTTGTTTTGCTTTCGTTCAGCGTGTGCCCCCTCTCCTCTCCCCGATGCATGCGCTCAACTTGCTTGTTGCTGTGTTTAGCTGCAGCCCCATGGCACTCTGTGATGCGTCATGTGCATGTATATGTACTCTGGATATGTCATCTACGTACAGCCCGATCCCTAAGTCCCCCACCTGCTCGGCTACTCCCACCCCGTCCTCCTCCTGCAGCACGCTGTCGCACTGCGGCCACGTGTATGTGTGACCATGTGCAGCTAGTTGCTCGTTCCATGTTTTCACATGCGGCGCATATACTGAAATAAAATCCCCAGCGGCCATTGCATGCCCCATTGTAGCGCCCCTTGCAAGTTTCATGTCTATGTTGCTGTCGATCCCGTCCGCGTGCACGACTAGGTTATCGATCGCTTGCTTAGCCAGCTCGACATTGTGCTCGTAGTGCTGCGCGCAATGCAGTCTCCTCAAGTGTTCTCTGTCTGTGCTAGCGAACGTATTCGTGCCATCGAACATGCTCATGGTGTGGCTCAGCTTCAAGTTCCTACATCTCCATGTCGCACTGCTGAATACTAATATAGCTCCCTCTCGTCGTCTTCCTGGGATCCCTCCACGTGCGAATGTGGGGTGCTTTAGCGGGGCCCTGGCTCTCTGGGCCAACTGGCCGCACCAACTCATACTGCAGGAACCGACACAATGCAATCGTCTTTTTCCCCTGATACCGAGCTCCCCGTTACCCTTGCCCTGCGCGAACATCTGCGATCGAAGGAAGCTGAGCGGCACCTGGTCCGTCTCTCCCACCAACGTTATCAACTGCTGGTATGCGTGAAGAAATGCCTCTGGCGTAATGTCCACTTCCCCATCGCTACCTGCCTGGTCTACTGCGATGTGGCGTGTCGGGGACAGTAGTTGCAACAGCGCCTCTGCGTACACACCCCGGCGGTGGGGTAGCTCTCCGCTTGGGGGCCTTCTTCAGATATCGCATCTGCCTTTCTAAAGCAGCTTTGGCGAGTTGAATGGCACGGTCTCGTTCGAGTACCTTTGGGAGAAATTGCACGACGTCGAGCGCCTTGCCCCATTCCATGATGTCTACACTCATGCCTCCCTGATGTGGTGGAAGCTGAAGTCCATGTCTCCACTCTGCAACTGTCATGCTCTGGCGCACAGCGAATATGCACCTCTTCTTCGGTTGTCTCCCTGTCGATGACAAACTGTTTGTAATATTGTGCATATTCGCCAATTTGTGCTGTTTCCAAACTTCCGCCAATTCGTGTAGCAAGGCTTGCCGCGTGTCCGCCGTCTGCCGCTTTCTCAGATTCTGGAGCGCCCGAATGATGACGTGCAGTTGCCTCTGGATTTCCTGGAACTGCTCCGGTTTTTTTCTGGCCCCCTTGGCTCGCAGCCGTCCTCTTTGCTTGATCAGCTCCGTGCGCCTTTTTCTATTCGGCTCGCACTCCTCAGAACGGCGTGGCCCAGGAGGGAATACTTCTGCCAGGGCTCCACGTACTGCACCTCCCATGTGTTCCCACACAGCTTGCACGTTGTTGCTCTGCATGGCGCAATGGTAGTTCTCGTCGTCCTCAGCCAGCTTCTGCGTAACCGCGTCAAAGAACTCATTCCTGCGGCATCCCTTGGTCCGCGCGCGCATTAGGCTGCCCCTGTTGGCAGGAGGGGAGTGCGGGTTGACTTTGTAGACCTTCTTTGCGATATCAATGTCCACAAATACAGGCACATGGTCCTCCAGTGTCGCACAAGGTTGAAGTTGGAGCGTGCGTCCCAGTTTGATCAACGTATTCAACTTCTGTATGCTGGGGATCACAGTCGTAGGGCGCATGTTGTGATACATCTTTGATGTCGGGCCTCTCTGAAAATATGTGGGTCCAGTGTTCTAAAAAGTCGTAGCCACGCTCAAGTGCTGCTCCGTTGCAAACTTCCGAATCTGCGTCGATACATGCGTCTCATGTGTTGCCTCCATCGTGCCAACCTGTTCGTCCGCGACAGTGCAACATGCACCTACAACGTTTCGCCATATTCCACATCCACAATTGAAATCTCCAGCGATGATGGGCAAAATGCTGTAAGCCTCTTTCTCGATCTTTTGACTGGCCCATTGCAAAATTATGTTTGTTGTCTCCTTAAGTAATGTAGGAGTTGTGCCCTTCGGAGGAATGTACACTGGAAGTATGCATATAGCCTGTCCATGTACTGGCATCTTGACTCTGGCGACTCTACCCGTGATGCCTTGTGACCCCGGGGGGGCTTCAGTTCGCTGTACTCCGCGAGCGTACTGCCCAGAAGAACTGCCAGCCCGCGAGACTTGTTCACATACTTTGATGGCCTCCACCAAAATTGAATGACTTTGTGGAACGACAGCTGGCTCTCCTGCATGTCGTGCTCTATGTCGATGTGGCGCTGCGTGCTTGTGACTACTATGACATCCACGCTCTGACATTGCACGCTGATATCTTCCAGCCTTGTGTAGTCGGCATCCTGGGCATTGTAGTTGATTATATTCAGCACCATACGGACGACACCCGTGCGCCTCCCCCACTTCGGCTCTGACTCGTGCCCTCAGGCCGCCCTCGGCCCGAAACGCGCCATGTTGATCTCTAACACAGATGTGTGGGGGATGTGGGTGCCGTTGCTGCCTGAAACTTCTTTGAAGCCGACATGGCAGCTGGAGGAGGAGGAGAACGAGGAGGAGGAGGAGGAGGAGGAGGAGGAGGAGGAGGGGGGGGGGGGGGGGGATGGGGGGAGGGGAGGGGGGGAGGAGGAGGAACCTTGCCCAACTCGGGCGCGGCGGAATGCGGGAGGTGGCCGCTGGCGCGGCTTGCGCGCGCGGGAGGGCCAGGAGAGGCGTCCGTACATATACATATATATATATATATATATATATATGCGCCTGCGCATTACGCACGCAGAGCCTGGCGCCACGCGTACATCCTATCAGGTGATGCGCGCCAACTCTGACTGAAGTAACGGGCGGGAGGGAGGAGGAGGAGGAGGAAAAGGAAAAGGAAGAGGAGGGGGAGGAGGACGGAGGATGAGGACGGAGGAAGAGGAGGATGGAGGAAGAGGAGGAGGAGGAAGAGGAGGAGGAGGAGGAGGAGGAGGAGGGGGAGGAGGGGCAGGAGGACGGAGGATGAGGACGGAGGAAGACGAGGATTGAGGAAGAGGAGGAGGAGGAAGAGGAGGAGAAGAGGAGGAGGACGACGACGACTACGACTACGACGACGACGACGACGACGACGACGACGACGACGACGACGACGACGGCGGCGGCGACAACGACGACGACAATGACGACAACGGCGACGACGACGACGAGGAACAAAGAAGACGCGAAAAAAGAGAGTCGAGCAGGGACACGGGGCCGGACGCCGACGGGCAGGCCCTGTACCTCATGGCGTCAGCAGCGCAGCGGCGAGCGCCGCGCGCCTCTTGGAGGCCGCCGACGCCTGCGCCGCCGAGCGTGCCACAGCGGCGCTACAGCGCGGCCCCTGCGCGGCGCCCGCGCCTCGCCGCGGCGTCGGCGGCGCCTCGGGCGCCGCCGGCGCCCATACGGCGGCGGCCAGCGCCGGGAGGCTCTCGACGGGGCCGCGGGCGCTTGGGCCGTCGCGGGGCCGCGAGGCCGCCTCCGCGCCAGTCGCCGCTGGGGCGGGCCAGTACGCCGTCTGCCGCTGCTGCACGCGGCGCGGGCCCCGGGCGGACCAGGGGCCCGCCAGCGCAGCCGCACGCCGCGGTGGGTGGCCCTCGGCGCCCGCCCCCGCCGCCGCCTCTGCCAGGTGCCCCGGGAGGCAGCCGAGGTTGGTCCTGTCGCCCGGGTCGGCGCCCTCCTCGAGGCAGGAGGGGAGAGCGCACCCCTGTGTGCGCCCAATAGGCAAGGTCCTCATCCCGCAGGCGTGCCTTGACGGGCCCGGGGCCCGGGGAGGGGCCCGAGAAACCGAGCCAGGCAAAAAGCCTCAAAAAGCCTCGAGGCCGCTGTGGCCCACGACGGTTCCTCCCTCTTGTGCTGGCCGCCCGCCGCTTCTTCGCGCCGTCTCGGGGCCCCACGGGAGGCTTCGGGTTGCTCTGGAAGGCGCCTAGGCCGCCCTGGAAATCTGGGGTCTCCACCAGTGGCAACACCCGACCGTCCGCCGAATGTCTGGGTTCGGGGGTCGAACATCGACCCGCGGACTTCTTCCAGGCGCGCGTTTCGACTCGACGTTCGAGGAGAGCTCAGCCGTGGCAGCGAGAAGCCCCCTGAGGGGAACGTCAGTGGAACGAACTCCGGGAAGAAACACTTTCGGCGCACACGGAGGGCGCTGGTCTGACAATGAATCTCAGATTCCAAGACTGTCTCGTTACTCGTTGCTAGTGATGTGTGGGCTGCAGCACAGAAAAAGGTAGCCCTTTGACCCATTATGATATATCAGAATGAGGGGGCCGAACGGTCACTCATTGTCCCTGGGTGCGTGGCTGAAGAAAGAATTCGTGGTGAGAAATATGTCAGTTGCGTTGTTGCTGTCGTTGTTGTTTGTTGTCGTCGTCCCACCCGCGACCCACCCCGCGACCCACCCGCGACCCAACCCCGCGACCCACCCGCGACCCACCCCGCGACCCACCCGCGACCCACCCCGCCACCCACCCCGCGACCCATCCACGACCACTCCGCGACCCACCCGCGACCCACCCCGCGACACATCCGCGACCCACCCCGCGACCCTCCCTCAAGGGAAGAACACCCGGACCCGACAATTGACGTTTACTAAACGGCCCTGGGCGTTTACTAAACAGCCCTGCCCTGTTCGATTCATTCCTTGGCGTGCGTTTACTAAGCGGCTTCGCTGATCGGGGTGATTAATATGGGGTGGATTCTCTGCCCTGCACACCTGCCATCCACCCGCGCCCCACCCCGCGACCCTCAAGGGAGGAAAAACCATCCGGACCGGACAATTGACGTTTACTAAACGGCCCTGGGCGTTTTCTAAACAGCCCTGCCCTCTTCGATTCATTATTTGCGTGCGTTTACTAAGCGGCTGCGTTTATCGGGGTGGTTAATACGGGGTGGATTCTCTGCCCTCTACGCCAGCGACCCACCCACGACCCAACAGCGACCCACCCGCGACCCACCCGCGACCCACCCCGCGACCCACCCGCGACCCACCCGCGACCCTTCCCGCGACCCTTCCCGCGACCTACCCACATTGGTTTGACGAAAAAATCGGCGGCGCCTCCGGCGGGCTCGTTGCATAATTTGTGAAACCTTGGAACCTGCGGTGGGCTTCTCCAGAATCTCGCAAACTGCCGATGTCCCCACAGCCCACTCACTCTCATCCGCAAGTGCGGGGTGCTACGTACGGACAAAGGGGGTCGGAGCAGGCAACAGCATCAGCAAGGACCACAATTGACATACCGTAGCACCCCGCAATCACGGATAAAAGTGATGGGGGGGCGGGGACGCCTGCAGTCCGCGCGGCTCTGAAGAAGCCCGCCGCAGGCGCCTCGCTTAGACAAAATATACGTAGCATCCCGCAATTGCGGATAAGAGTGAGGGGGCGGGCACGGGCGACGCGGGCGCCGAGCCGTTCAGCGAACGTTGTTTGGCTCGTTCAGTGAACGCTCAATGAACGTAGTTTGGGTCGCGGGTGGGTCGCAGGCTCTCCACGTCCACCTGGAAGGAATTCAAAAATAGCCCGCCGCAGGCGACGAAAAGTTTGATTCGTACACTGAACGCGGTTTGGGTCGCAGGTTTTCCACTAGGAACGACCTCCAAGAACACCCGCCGCAGGCGCCGAAAATTTTGGTTTGTCCAGTGTACGTAGTTTGGGTCGCGGGTGGGTCGCGGGCCCTCCACCTCCAGCTGGAAGGAATTAAAAAACAGCCCGCCGCAGGCGCCGAAAATTTTGATTTGTACACTGAAGCGGTTTGGGTCGCGGGTGGGTCACAGGTTCTCCACCTGAAACGAGTGCAAAAAAAAAACCGCCGCAAACGCCGAAAATGTTGTGTGGGTCGCGGGGTGGGTCGCGGGTGGGTCGAGGGTGGGTCGCGGTGGGTCGCGGGTGGGTCGCGGGCGCGGTTTGGGTCGCGGGTGGGTCGCAGGTTCTCCACCTGGAGCGAATGCAAAAGAAATCCGCCGCAGGCGCCCGCCCCTGGTGGAGCCACACTCCCAGCGCCACGCCTGCTCCGACCAGTAGCCGCTCGACCAGCTGCCCCAGCCGCTGGTCTCAACCCACTTTTGGCCGTCCTTCCACCCGTGCGCCTGCCGATCGTCGTGCGACGGACTGTCCTGCGGCTTCTCGTTCTTGCCGTACTCGTGATCCTTGTCTGCTGTTGCGGCCTGCTCGCGGTCGTCCCACGCTTTCTGCCAGGGGTCGATGATCGTTGGCTTTCCCGCTGCCACAATCTCGTGGACTACTTGAGCCACGATCTCTTTCATCTGTGTAGGTGTCATCGCGAGCGACGGCTCCAATTGGCTCGATGCTGCTGCGCTTTCCTGGATCACTGCGGCAATGAACTCTTTGGCATTGTCCTGCTCCGTACTCATGCCGTGGAACGCCCCGCCCGGCTGGTAAAGCCGGTCCTGGTCCCGAGCTCGCGAGCGGCGAGCACCCCGCGCCGCCTAGGCACTGGTGCTGCCGCCCATGGCATGGAACCTGAAACGGCTCCGCTACCAACTTTGGCAGCAACAGCCGCGGCATGATGTTTTCCTTCTGCCAAAGTAGGACCATGTACGAGAAAGCTGGGCTCTTTTTCTCTGAACGCTACACCTGAAAGCGAATTATTTGACCCCTGCTACAAACGGAAAAGGCCTTGTCAGAAGGTTCGGACGTCGCCTGGCCTGCTGAAAAGTTTTCTAAGCCTTCCCCGAAGACCCCAAAAAACTTCTCAGAAGGCGCGAGGGCTTCTGAGAAGTCCAGCCGCCTTCCGAGAAGGCCGTGTCCTTATCATTTCCCCCCTCGCTCGCCGCCAAGCTTCTTCCTCTTCAGGTTCCACATCTTCTCCATCATCTTCCTGCTCGCCCTCCTGGTGAAGGTCCTCATCCTCATCGGCGCTGTGGGCAGCCCAGGCAGCTGCCGAGTGGCGGCCGCCGTTGCGGCCACGATACCGTCGAACACCACGTCGTCATGGTGCGGCGTTGGGCGAGAACTCGAGGCAACAGCAATCCCTTGGGCAACCATCGTGCGGCACATGAAACGCGTCGGAATGTGTCCGACTCGGCACGGGCCTGTCCGTAAGGCACCTTCTGTCCGTGAAAGAGTTCTCTGCGAGGGAGCTCGGAATGCACGCTCCGCTGCCAATGCAGCGCACACTCTGGCCTCTGGTCGGACAATGGATATCTACTTCCAAGACCGTCTCGCGAATAGGGTTGTATGGGCTGCAGCACAGCAGAAGGGGCCCCCTGAGCCGATATGATTTATACGGACAGAGGGGGTCAGACCAAGCACTAGCATCAGCAGAGACCAGAATGGACACATGAACGACATGACTATTGCAACATCGACCCGACATCGGCGATACGTCGACGATGGATCGGCGATGGCGCCCCGAGTGCAAATCCGCACGTTCGTGGGCGGAGGGAGCCATCGGGCCCCTACTGGCGATCCATGGGCGACTGGGGGTCGCCTCGTCCCCCCTGAGCCTGCTCCCCCCCCTCACGCTGCCCCCGTAAGCGATCCTCCACCAGCCGCCCGATCACGCCGGCGGGGGCGCCCGCGGCCGCGCCGAAGTGCAGGGGCCGCCACAGGCGCGCGTCGGCGAGCCGCGCGTCCGCGCCGTGCTCGAGCAGCAGCCGCGTCGCGGGCTCGTCGCCCGCGGCCGCGGCGGCGTGGATCGGGGCGCACCCGGCGGCGTTCGGGGCGTTGGGGTTCGCCCGCGCCGCGAGCAGCACCCCGACCAGCTCGAGCTCGGCGTCGCCCGCACCCCGGGCGGCGGCCCGGGCCTGCACGGCCGCCCGGAGGGGCGTGTCGCCGATGCGGCTGGCGGCGTCCACGGAGGCCTGGAGCGCCAGCAGCTCCCGCACGCTCTGCGCCATCTGCCGCCCCACCGCCAGGTGCAGCAGCGAGCGCCCGTCCTTCGGGTGGGGCGCGTGGATGTCGGCCCTCTCGGCGAGCAGCTGCCGCAGCAGCACCGCGTTGCTGGCCTCGGCAGCGAGGTGGACCAGGCGGCTCCCGTCCGCGGGGTCCTCGGCGTCCCTGTCTGCGCCGGCCTGCAACACCTTGGCGCAGGTGGCCGCGTCCTGGATCGCCGCCAGCTGCAGGACTGGCCGCGCGCCCGAGAGGTCGCGGGCGTTTACGTCTGCGCGCGCTCGCAGTAGCGCGTCGAGCACAGCGCCGCTCTTCGGGGCGCCGCGGATCGCCGGCACCAAGGCAGTGCGGCCCCTGGAGTCGGCGGCGTCCACGTCGCAGCCCGGGTCGTCGAGCAGCGCCTGTAGCACCCCGGGCCAGTTGCCCGCGACGGCCCAGTGCAGCAGCGTCGCGCCGTCGTGCAGCCGGAGGTTGGCGTCCCCTCTGAACCCGAGCAGCGTCGTCACCAGGTCCGCTCGGCCGAGTCGCACCGCCAGGGCCATCGGCGGCTCCAGCCCCTTCATGGAGTTGACGTCCGCCCGTCTCTGCACGAGCATCCCGGCCACCTGGGCCGCCTTCTCGCCCAGATTGAGCATCGCGCCGTTGAGCGGCAGGCGGCGGGTCACGGGCGAGGGCGAGTCCAGCAGCTCGGCGATCCTGGGGTCCGTCCCGTCCGCCGGCACGCACTGCAGGAGCGCCTGCGCCGTGTCGGCGCGGAAGTAAGCGATAGCGATGTCGAGGGCGCTCTGGCCCCGGAAGCTCCCGGCCACGCGAGAAAGGACGGCCTCCCACGCCACCGCCCCACCGCCCTCGCCTCGGCTATCGCTCCAGCGCACGAGCAGCAGCTTGCAGCGCTCCGCCTCGCCGGTGCCCGCCATCTGACAGAGCCGCGTGCGCAGCTGGTCCTGAGTTGGCTGGAAGCACTGCAGGGCCGTCCTGGCGTCTATGCCGCGCTGGACACCGCGCCCCAGGCGCTGTTCGCCCGGCAAGGCGCGGCTGCCAGTGGAGCGGGTCGCGTCCGCCCTGCTGCTCGCTGGGGAGAAAGACCACGGCGAGTTTTCCGTGGGACGCAGCCTCAGCGGCGAGGAGCTGTCCTCGGGCACGGTGTCGCCCAGCCTGGAGAAGTCCGCGATCGCGCGCCGCGGCATCGGCAGCGACTTCCTAGCCGTCACAGGCGGGGCGTCGTCGACGGCCAACGGGGGGCTATCGACAGCCCCGCCTTCGGGGTCATGCCCGCTCCCAGGGTCACGCCTGTGAAGGGGAACTGGGGCACACAAAGAAAGAGACACAAATAACCAGGATCCCCCCATGTTTTCCAATATTTTCGAAGGTTTGTTGTCTTCCCCCCCACTTCCCATATTGTCCCATATTTTCCGGGGGATCGACGATTAATTGTGTCTGTGTGTTTGTTTCCCCTCCTGAACCAGGACGGGCTTGTCCCCCTACATCGGGATTCTCGACGAAAAAATAAACATACCCCAAACAAATAACTCCAACATTGTCAAACAAATACTCGAAAAATGGTCCCCGGACTATTTGTTTTACTATTTTCGAATATTCCTCCTGTAGAGGGACAGGCCCGACTTCAGCCTGAGCAGGCCAAGCCCGCCCTGGGCCGGCAGGCCCGCGGGGGCCGACTGGCGCCGGCGGCGCGCGCTGCGGGGCAGGGCCGCGGGGCTGGCCAGGGCCTTGGAGAGGCTGGGCGCCTCGGCGACCAGGCCCTGCTTCTCCTAAGGGATAGAGGAAAAAGAGGGCCGTGCACATACACCGATCCTGGCAAGGCCCGTCCTTGACCCAGGATCGGTGCATATACCTTCCTGGCCAAGGTAGCGGGCGTATGCACCGACCCTGGGCTCAGGATGGGCCAGGCCAGGATCGTTGCATAGTTCTCTTCGGCCGAGAAACGCAACAAGCATAACCTTTTGGCGCTCCGCGCGGATTTCATGGATCCGCGCTGACCCCCCTCTCTGGCGCGCGGAGCGCGCCAGGGCCGGCGCCGGAGACGCCGCCCGGGGCGGCCCAGCGCGGATCCAAGAAATCCTCGCGGAGCGCCAGAAGTTCCTGTTTATGGCTCTTTTTCTTTTTCGATCTCCAGCGACAGCTTGCCCTTCTCGATCAGCGCGTCCAGCGCGCCACCATCCAGCAGCACGCCGCGGGGACTGCCGAGCGGCCCGCCTTCGGAGGCCTCTCGGTCGGGGTCGGAGCCGATGGGGTCGGAGAATCTCGCCGCACCGCCGATGCATCGGCGATGCATCGGCGATGAATCGACTTGAGCAGGGACCGACCGTCCCCGCATTCCTATAGTCATACCACGAAATTTTCTTAGAACCCAAAAATGTTCTAAGAACAATAACACTGTCCTTAGAACATAAGCCCGACGTGATAAAACAAGACAGACCCCGCCAGAAATGCTCTAAGAACATTTCGTTGGAACCACAAAAAGTTCTTAGAACATTGTTTGGTGGGGCTATAGGCGAGCCGGGACGCTTCGCCACTGCTTGATCGATGCTGCATCGACAACGCATCGGCGGTGCGTCGGCGACGCCGGCGTCGAGACAATCGGGTTCCACAGCGAACCTTACGGCCGATGCAGCAGCGAGGCGGCGCGGTCCTCCAAGCCAATCGGCTCGGACCCCATCCGGGGGGCCTACAGTTAAGTCGGACCTGTCCCCCTACAGGCCGATTTTGGACGAAAAATCAGAAAATAGCCAAAAAATACCCTAAGATATTCAAAAATTGTCAAAACATCGTCCCAAGACTATCTTTTGACTCTTTTTGAGTATTCCCCCTGTAGAGGGACAGGCCCGACTTACGCCTACAGAGCGAAGTACTTTCGAGCGGCCCACCTCGCCCGCCGCCCGGGCCGCGCAGCTCACGCGGCGGCGGCTGGCAGGCCAACAGGCCGCAGGGCAGCACCGCGCGCTCACCGTCCGCGGCCCTCAGCACGGGCGGCTCCATGACGGTCTTGGTCACGCCGGGGGCAGCCGCGTCCCGTGACCCGAGTGGCACAGGTTGCCATTTGGCACCGCCGCTGGCGAGGTGTGCTGCGAGCAGGCCCAAGTATTTTGCCGGAGCGTCGAACCTCGTGTCATCCTGTGTCCCCTCCAACGGGAAGCGCTCATTGGGACCGAGGGCGATGACGGGGTGCACGAACACGCATGAGCAGATGATCGCTCCGCCGCTGGCGTCTGGATCCGCCGACGGTATGCTGACCTCCAGTCGCCCGCAGCCCACGGCCTGGCCAACCTCCTCCTGGACCCTGCTGCGCAAGCGCTCCGTGCAGGCGCTGTCCCAGTTCCGCGGCCTCGCGAGCCGGAGCAGCGCGCACGCGGCCACGACCACGAGGCCTGGGACGGCAGCCGTCGCCTGCGCCTGCCAGCCGTCGGTCTCGCTCATCCTCGGCGCCTCTGGCGCCTTCCGCAGCAGCAGGGCCCTGTCGAGGCCCTCGTTCGCCGTCCCCACAATCTTGTCCGCCGGCTTCGAGATGAACTCCGCCAACACCTTCTTCTGCGCGAAGGCGGCAGACTTCGGCACGAACGCCGAGCACGTCTCGCAGACGGCGAGGCCTTGGGCAGATCGGCCGGCGGCTTCCTCGGCCTCCTCGGGCACCTCGAGGCCAACCACCGGCCGCGCGCCGCAGAAGACGCACGCCTGTGCCTCCAACAGGACGGCCGCCGGTCCTGCCGAGTGCAGCGGCCGAAACACGCCACGCCCCGGCGCCGGGCCCAGGTGTTCCTCGAGCGAGCTTGCGTCGCAGATGCGGACAGACAACTGCGTCCAGGTGGCAGCATGCTCCTCGAGCTCGCTCGCCCACTCGGCCGTGATGTAGTGGCACGCGTCCTCGAGGGTGGCACCGTCCAGCTCCACGGAGTTCATCTGGGGCCCGCCCTCCTGGGCGACGCAGAGAAAGCCGCCACCGGCCAACTGGAACAGGCGGACGCCAAGCCCGCGGCTCTCGAGCTCGGTGTTGACCTCGCCGAGTCCCCGACTGGGCAATTGGATGGCCGGGGCGATCGACAGCCGCACCTGACGATCGACGAACACATCGTTATCCAAGGCCCTGCGGTTTGGACACCAATGCACGATCCCGTGGGTACGTTCCGCGCGGTGCATCCGAGCAAAACCTCCCTGCGACCACGGGTTCATTGCCGAGGAGTCTGGACCGCGAGGAGGTGGGATGGCTTTCCTGCCAGCGAGCACCTTCGCTCCCAACTCCACCGCGTCCACGTAGAGCGGGTTCCGCCGCGTCGCCCTGCGGCCGAAGTTTGCCACGCTCGGGGCGTCCTTCGCCTGCAGCAGCGCGCAGGGCATCGACACGGAGATTCCAGGGAGCGCGGAGGCTACCTCACGAGACCCCAAACCGACTCCAACACGAAAAGGTTCAGAAGTCGGCGCGGACGTGTGGGGTCGGCGCTGGCCCCTGACCCCACACATGCGGCAGGTTCATGTCGTGACCACCCTGGCGTTGGTTTCTGCATGTAGGCCGATTCTGGGCCACTGGCGGCGTTCAACCTTGAACGCCCGCGGCGGGGTCGCCGCCGGACGACACAATACGAACCTACCATACACTCCCCCTTCTACTGGAGCTGCCCAGAGGTGTGGGGGAGGGGAGCAGGTGAATGCTGCTGTTTCTCGATGCCTCTTGCAGTTGTTTCTTCTCCTCCTTCTCGTCCCTCCTCCTCCCTCGCCCTCCCTCATTCGCCCTCCTTTTCCCTCCTCCTCCTCCTCCTCCTCCTCCTCCTCCTCCTCCTCCTCCTGCTCCTCCTCCCCCACCTCCCCCCTCGCCCTCCCTCCTCCTCCTCCTCCTCCTCCTCCTCCTCCTCCACCATTGCACTATATGAATACTAATCTCCTCTCTCCCCTGGTGGCGTCCGGGACATATTCGACCCCCACTCCGCGCACTGGTTTTTTACACACAGGATTCCCAGGAGTTGGGTTTTAGCTAGTGTTTTTGTTCATCATGCTGCTCTCGCTGAAGCGCTGGCCTCATTTGCGGGCTACCCCTCATTCCGAATCGTGCTCCTGCTGCAGCGCTGGCCTCATTTCCGCGCTGACGCTCGTTCCGAATCGTGCTCCCGCTGCAGCGCTGGCGTCATTATTGCTAGCGCCATGCCACGGCATAGTTTTCGGTCCTTCTAAATGAGCCCCAAAATCTATAATATGCCCCCCCGGAAAAAAATCGAAAGTGATTCCACATTCGGTGTGGATTCGTTGACTTTATGGGCCACAGAAGCGCCCAACCCAATCTGGGGCGTCGCCACGCCATGCTATGTCAAGCTACGCGTACTCATTTCCTCGTTTCCGCGTTGTTTTCTTCAAAATGCTGCTCTCGCTGAAGCGCTGGCCTCATTTCGGGCTACCGCTTGTTCCGAATCGTGCTCCCGCTGCAGCGCTGGCCTCACTTCCGCGCTTTCGCTCGTTCCGAACCGTGCTGCCACTGCAGCGCTGGCATCATTGTTTCCAGTGCCATAACACAGCATGGTGTTCGGTCCTTCCAAATATTCCCCAGCATCTAGAAATGGCATTCCGAAGCAACCATCGGAAGTGATTCCACATTCGGTGTCGACTCGTTGATTTGTTGGGCCACAGAAGCCCCCACCCCACTTTGGGGCGTCGCCACGTCATGCTATGTCATGCTACGGGTTCATCTTCAACACAAGGCTATGTCATGTCATGCTATGCAATGTTGCGACATCCAACTGTGCGAATAGAGAGGGGATCTACGCCATAGTAAGGAGTGGGAGGGAGGGGTAGGACGTGAGATATGACGCGAGCGCACCTAGCTTGTCTTCCTCCTTCCTCTCCCCGCCCCTTCCCCTCCCCCTCCGCCTCCGCCTCCGCCTCCGCCTGCGCCTCCGCCTCCTGCCTCCTCCTCCTCCTCCTCCTCCGCCCTCCTCCCTCTCCCTCTTCCCTCCTCCCCCCTCCTCCTCCCTCCCTCCTCCTCCCTCCTCCCTCCTCCCTCCTCCCTCCCTCCCTCCCTCCTCCCTCCTCCCTCCTCCCTCCCTCCTCCCTCCTCCCTCCTCCCTCCTCCCTCCTCCCCGCCGCCCCCCTGGCAGACCCGCACCTTGTACAGCTCCTCTGGCAACATCCCGCGCCGGCTCGCCCGCGTCCCGTCGCGGAGCTCCCGCAGGCCCTGCAGCAGCCAGGCCTCAGGGCACCGGTGCCGGGCGTCGGCGCACCTGGGCGGGGCCGCCGATGACAGGCCAGCGACAACGACGACGACGACGACGACGACGACGACGACAATGACGACGAAAACGACGACGACGACGACGACGACGGCGACGGCGACGACGAAAATGACGACCACGACGAAGACCATGACGATGACGACGACGACGACCAAAATGGCGAAAACGACGACGACGACGACGACAATGACGACGACGAGTCCTCCATCCTCATATATCGTGCTCGAGCGAAAGGCACAGGCGTGGCACTCGACACCCATCGCGCGGCTTCTACCGCTCGGGCCAACAAACCTTCACTCGAACATCCCAGTCGCACGAACCGTCCGTATGAGTGACGAGTGACGGGGCAGTGTTTGCAACAACTGAAATCGAAACCCGCGGACAGACCCAACTCACTAGGCCCCGCCCCGCCCGCAAAACCACGGTATCCCTACGAGCACCGGTACAGATCAATGTACTGTTCACGCGGGATAATTCACCCTACCGCCGTTCGATCGCACACGAACGCGGGTGCCCCTCAAGCACTAGCCTGAGCTCGGGCGCGTCCCCCTACAGGCGGATGTTGGACGAAAGATAAAAATAGCCAACAAATACTTAGAACATGTTGAACAGTTGTCGAAAAAAACGTCCCTTGACTATTTGTGATTACTATTTCTGAGTATTCCTCCTGTAGAGGGACACGCCTGACTTACCACTAGCGCCTATCTCATAGCGGATGCATGGTTGGGCTGTTCCATATCCGGTCATAATTACAACTCACATAAATACATAAGCTAAGCGTGCCCAGCGCATGGACCCGTATGGGATCGAGCGACCAGAGGGCCTGCACTTGAAACTTGGCAGTGTGGCATGTCTGGGCTTTTGGTTACGGCCGGCTCGTGTCGTGACGACCCCAGCATTGGTTCCTGACACTGCGGTGATCATTCAAACTTGAACGATCGGCCGCTGCAGAAACGCCAATACGTTCAACGATGGGCCGATTCTGGGAACGAGAGCTGTTCAACCTTACACGCCCGCGCTAAGGTCGCCGCCAATCGACACGACGCGAACCTACCGTAACTGCGTCGTCTGCCTTGACGAAAGCACAAGCCGCTCTCGGCGTCGGCGCGGCCCCAGACGGACGCGTACAGGCCCAGGTGCACAGCCGCGTTGCCGAACTGCGTAACCGTCTGCCTCTCTCGCCCCTGTCGTAACGGCCGCAGGCCGTCTGGCCGGCACGTGCGGTCTGGCAACTTGAGAGGCGGTTCAACGTGTGGCTTGCTGGGCGGGTTCCGGGCGTTCTCAACATCATGGCCTGAGAAGGCGCTGAATGTCACCACGCATCCATGAGCCACCGTTGTGTGCTGGAAGCCGCGCCTGCCTTATGTCGCGATGCCTAACCAGTACTCGCCATTCGTCTCTCGTGCTCGCAAAAAGGGTGACCCTGGTGGACATCTCAACGAGCAGCCTGGTCTGGTACCAATTAACGTGAGGAGGCTGCAATTTAGCATGTCCGTGGTCAGGTGGGACATCTCGGCCATGCTCGCACTGCTGGTGGTACACCAGTAATGCATATATCCCCCTGAACAACATGTTGTGGTGACTCCACTGTGGGGAACTGCATGGCGACGTCGCTTGTCGCGATCTTGCCCCGACCTGGCACAGCACCTTTGCACTCATGCTTGGGTTTTGCGGCCATAGCAGTCCGAACCACGCGCACAGCATGCCAATGTGCTCGTCCTCTTGCGTCCCAGGGACAGATTAACGTACACCTGGTCATTGGGGACCTCGTTGCCATTTGACAAAGCCGGCTCCACGTCCCTGGGCCCAAGGGGGGCATCTAACCCTTGGGAATGAAGGACTGAATATGGCCAACCACGTCGATCCACTCGTCATGATTTACGATCCTGTGGCCTGATAAGTACACTCTCCATATCTGCGGCCCGCTAACTAACTGGTCGTAAAGGAAAACTAAGCATCACCATAACGAAAATTACCCGAGACGTACCCAACCCCTTCTCCACGCGAGGCACATATTTGTACGACCGCTCAATACAAAACAAACATCGCCAGATTGACAATGCCGACAGTTGCACACTTCGCAGCCCCCGAGGAAGCCAGGAGGTCTCAAATGGATCTGCGCTGCCCTCAGCAGCTGCGCAGTCCGCAGCCCCCGAGGGAGCCAGGAGTTCTCAAATGTATTCGCCCTGCCGTCACCCCCGCTGGACCTCCCCCAGGAGCCCACGAAAGTGGCGACACTTGCGCAGTTCGCAGCCACCCGGGGAGCAGCCAGGTCCCGAATGCGACCGCACGTGACTCCACTGGGCCGAACCTCCCGGGAGCCCACGACAGTGGAGGCAGTTGCGCAATTCGCAGCCTCCCAGGGAGCACCGCACGAGGAGGCGGGAGGACGGGAGAGGAGAGAGAGAAGCGAAGACGAGCGAGGGCGCCGGAGAGAGGCACACAGGTGTGCCCGTGCCCGCCCACTTATCGGGTGTTGATAGAAGTGCCCCTGGCCCAAGGTGCCCTCAGCTTTTCGCTCCAGTTGGGAGCCCCTGGGGCCCTCTGGGCCTCGTGAGGGGTGCCCTGGAGGCCTCCTGAACCACACCGAGAATCCTGGGGGTACCTTGGGCCAGGGGTACTTCTAGCAACACCCGAACTTAGGCAGGGCGCATGAGGCCATGGCCTCATACCGCGTGCGCGCAGAAGTCGTGGCAGAGTACTTCAGGAGCCAGTGCACACAAAGAAGGCAAGGAACAACCAAACGTGTCGACCCGACAAATCAAAAAAGTGCCGCGGCAAGAAACAATGTGCGTATGAACTAGAAGAACGGGAGGACGTGACAGAAGCTGCTCCCAGACCGGATCAGGATCGAGTTACTGCGGTCGGTGTCCTGGCTGCTACTGTCGGAAGTCGCTAGTGGTGGGTGCTGTGTGCTGGTGCTACTGCTGCGAACTGTCCGTGCTGGTCATCGGTGGTGTTGGCGAACGAAGGTAGGAACGGTGATTGGTGCAGTTTATACCGGAGTTGGCGCATTCAACTGTTCTATGCAATGAAAACGCTCTCGAGCGAATCCCACCACGTCGTGTCGGTCGCAGCCGCCAGCCATCTCACACCGTTACTGTCGTAGTGAAGGTATACGGAATTGTCGTGGACGGCGTCGTTGGCGTCGCTGCCCGTGGCTTCGTCTCTGGCGTGCGCATGTAAACCCTGCAAAAGGAGGAGGGGAGAAGAGGATGAGGAGGAGGAGAACCCAACACAATAGGGCTGGGAAAGTAAGAGCTGATCGAAGTGTTTGCGATATCCTGGAGTGATGACATGGCTGGCGGCGCCCATCAAATCGCGAAAACCAGCATGGTCGCTCCGCGTTCCACAGAAGAACCGCCAGAAGCTGCGCGCCCCTTAGGTGAACCACGTCGCCTCTGGCGTGGGCCCGAAGGTCGGATCGAATAACGCGTGAGCTCGCTGAGCTGGACGAGCAACAGCTTAATCCGGCATCAGGCCATCGTCGTGACTCAACCCCGCGGCGCGTGCTCGACGCTCCTGGTCCTCGTCCTGTGTTTTTTGGACGCCCGACATGGGTACGGAAAGCAGGGATATGATGTCTGCCCAAGTACGGATGTTGTCCAAAACCGACAACGATCGCTGGTGGGTGGGCGGCCCTCTGTCTCAAATGGACAACGTCCGCAGCGACGCCGACAGCGATCCCTGCCTTGATTGGACGGGAACTGCTGTTGGCTTTCGTACCCATCCTTGCCATACCCTTTTCGCCTGGACATGAGCACCAGCACCAACGCAGGGGGTTGCCTCCACAGGGGGATGATGAGTATAGATTTCGGTGTTGGTGGAAATATCTCGATCACCTCGGAAGCCAGAACATCACCACCACAATCACCGAGATCGGGATCTTCTTCCCTTGGTGGAGGCACACCTCCGGTACTGGTGTTGGTGTCAACCGCTAGGCCTGCGACGTTAGCTCCGCTTGGCGCCCGTAACCCTGGTCATGAGCCCGCTGCCTTGGCCGGTGCCTCGGCGATTTGCCAGACGACCCTCATCCCGAGGACTTGGCGCCCGCCATCGGGCTCGCCGCTCCGCCCTCGGCCCCTGTGGACCTCGCTGGACGCGTGCGCCTTGACTCCTTGGACTCCTGGACTCGGGAACGCGGGGCTGAGCTGAGGCTCGCGGCTGATGTCGCGCCGTCCGGGCGTCTGGGCGCAGCGGGGATCGCAGGCGCAGCAAGGATGTCTGCGTTCTGCGCTGGTGCTCGGGGCACGCCGGCGCGCCCCTCACGATCCTGCTTCTGCGCAGTGAGTGGTGATCTCCTTGCCCGAAACACTTCCGAGGGCTCTGTAACTCACTGATTTGCATTTCGTCATCCTCAGTGACTGCGCTGATGCATCCCATCATGCCGACACGTCGCTGGCGCTCAGCGGCGCGCTCGGATTGCGCTGCGGCGCAACTATCCCTCGACGCCTCGCGGGCACTCCTTGCCCGAGCGGGTCCGTCTTGGAGCTCCGTTAGCTCGCATCTCTTCTCGCACTGACTGGCCGTCTGAACTCTATTAGTCTCTGCCTGAATCATGAACCAGCTCGTCGTGCTGTCAAAGTCCGTGTTTCCTTGCGCTAGGCGCCCGCTCAGCTTTTTTTGGATAGCTGCCACGGCTGGGCGTTAACGACGGCCGAGTCCATCTCTTGGAGATGCTCCTGCAACTCTTACACTGTTGCTAGATGCCCGCTGCTTGTTACCTCGGTCGGTGCACTCAGCTCCGTCTTCACCCACTTAACTGCACATCTACCCTCCTCTGCTCCTCCTCCTCCGCATCATCACCCCTCATCCTCCTCATCATCCTCATCATCCTCTAGAAATCCAATGCCCCTCAGGAGCACGAATAAGAGACACCCACACGCACGCATAGCATGCCACAGAAAAAAGACTCGCACCGCGCTGGGAAGAAGTCAGTGACAAACTAAATGGTCGCAACTTGCACCATGCAGCGCGTCCCATAACAG